ACACACACACACACACACACACATACACACAATGCTGGGAGGCTAAGCTAATGTGTCATACTAATATTGCCTCTGCATCAAACCACACTAACATCAAGCAGCTATAATAAATCTCTCTTTTGAGTGCTTTTAGTTTGACTTAATTGTGCAATAACATAACTGTATCTGTCGCATCTGCTGCGTCATTCCACAAAGTACTTGATTTTTTTTTCTTCTTCATGCCCTTTCTCTTTTACTCCTTCCTCAAATGTTTTTCTTTAATGAATTTTGACCTATAGAGCACATAGCAATGGGTCCTCCCATCGGCCCAATGTTGTCTGGGGGTTTAACTGGAGACATATGCCACGCCCCTGCTGCAGCAATGAATAGAATAAAGAAACTACAGTGTTTTTTGAATTTTGGAGCCTGCAAACCTTTTCAAGTACTGTCCCAAATTAAAATGATGAACCCCCAAAACCATGATAATAAGTCTCCTTTAATCTGGAAATGACATTATAACGTGTAGTCTCTTTAATTTGCCATATTTACAACATAAAATCACATTTTTTCACATTTAATTGAATTGAAGACACTGCACTGAATTATTGACATATGTGTAATTTTGACCAGGAGGTGGAATACATTTCTTAAACATAAAACATGTGCAATGTGAATCATGACACTTGACTGTCTGGAATAAAAATCTGTTTTGCAAATGCACCTTTCCTACGTCCACTCCTAATTTCGACTGAATGTTGACAAATAACTTCATTCCTCTATCGCTCTTCTCGTTCTGTTGGGCTGTAGGTTTTGAAAATGACATGGTGACTCTGGTCCTGTCTCTCGGTCGTTGTCGCTCTCTTCAACGTCTCGCACTGGGGGGAAACTTTGCCATGAAGTCCAGGTGTGGAGAAAATAATACAATGCTATGCTGTACATCACCATGCTCCATTGTATATGATTATTTTACTGTACCTGCGTGTCTCCCTCTGACATCAGGTGAATGTTAACAAGGCCCAAGTGAAGCTTCTGCAAACTGAAAAGCTAATGAAAAAATGGCTCTTTACCTGTGGGAGAAAAAAAAGATTGATTTAAAATGGTCATAATGGGCAAAATACATTCATGAAAAACATCTAAAGATCATTTGCACTTTTCTCTCTGAAGAGTGCCCACTTACTGTCAGCTGTCAGCTGTCAGCTACGAAGTGGTAACAATATGATGAATTCATTCAGGGTCCGCTTCAAAAGGACTGCTCAGTCTAACATTATAGGTCAACATAATGTTTCGAAAGCTTTACTGTGATGAAATGTTTCTTCAATCCTTCTTTGCCATTGCTTTGTTTTTTCATGTCCGCATCACTCTTCTTGTGTTCTGCTGTCTGTGTCCACCAGAGCTCTCACTGATGTTCTTCATCGAATAGCTCAGCTCATTCAGGATGAAGAGTGTGTAAGTGACACGTCCTTTCGTCTCATTTACTCTCAGTATAACTCTCACTAATATTAGCACTCATTGCTACTTATTATGATCACCTTGAGCAAAACATTTTGAATCACAGCCTATTTTGAATGGAATGTTTTAAATGTACATATTTTTACAGTGTTGGAAAGAAACTACAGTTTTGTCATGCATTTGTGTGTGTGTGTGTGTGTGTGTAGCCCTTGCAGTCTCTATCAGTGTGTGACTCTAAGCTGAAGACAGGGATGCACATCCTGCTGAGCGCTCTGGGAGGCCCCACAGCTTTGGCCGAACTGGACATCAGTGGAAACAACATCGGAGACACTGGAGCCAAAATGCTCGCTAAAGCCCTGATAAATAACACTAGACTAAGGTACACACACACAAACACACAAACACTAGCCACATTTTGGACACAATTTAAGGCACATTAACCGACTTTCCATCGCACACACTCATGGTTGAACCTGTTTCTGTTACACATCATCATGCCAATCGTTCCACTTCATGTTTTTAAAGCATTTCACGAGAACGTGTTCGGTTCCACAGCCCGACCATTATTGATCCCCTCTTACTGTTACTGGAAACTGTGGGTCTAATGTTTGCCACTAGATGTCATTATTTCATCATTTATATTATTTTATGTATTGTTTGATTGGCTGCAGGAGTATTTGGTGTGTTCACATTGTCATTTGATGTTGCATGGAGCAGCTATCCCTCACTGCACGTTCACACAGGCTCCAATGATAAATGTCACTCATCTTCAACCAGACTGTGATGGAGTTCTACCAGATATCTGTCTGTCTCTTTCAAGGACTCT